TAGACAACATGGTTAAGAGTGATGTAGTCTACAGCGGAAATCATGACAGAGGTAGTAGAGGTGATGACAAGCAGACAAGGAAGGAACTGAAGGCTCTACAAGATAAGATTGACATCCTCATTGCCGACAAAGCTACACAAGAGCAGCTGAACTTTGTTGGGAACACAAGCCAAGCACCAAACGCTGTGACCAATGAATTGGATGGAAAAGAGGGCCAGGAAGAGTTGTGTTTCATTAACAACAATGGTAGTTGGTACAAGAAGGAACCCAATTTTCACTACAACAACTACCCACAAGGAGGATACCAACAACGGAACAACCAGCAAGGCAGCTATCAGCCTCAGCAAAACCCACCTCCTGGCTTCACCAACAAGGGAAACCAACCTTCTCAACAACAAGCTAATACTTCTACACCTACTCCTCAGGAAACCAGCACTGATGCTCTACTGAAACAGATTTTGGAGTCTCAGACTAGAAGTGAAAAGCATGTTGGTTATGAGCTGAAGAACCTTCACGCCAAGATTGATGGGAGTTACAATGACCTCAACAACAAATTTTGCGCTTTGGAGAACCAGTTTTCTTCTATAACTTCCACCTCTAAGCGCCCAGGGAAAGATCATTGCAATGTTGTCATCTCTGCTGCTACCTCTGAGACTGGATTGAATGATCATGAGAAAGAGGTAGATGAGATTGAAAGACTCTTCTACGAATCTGAACTTGTGCAGGATGAGAGACAGATTGTAGCCAAGGCTGATGCTCAGCTTGTAGAGAAGGTTGAGGAAAAGGTTGTGTAGCTAGTTGGAGTCAGAGCTGAGATGTCTCCTTATGACAAGCTCCCATTTCCAAAAAGGATCATCACTAAAGCTCAAAAGAAGGTGATCTCCAAGTTCAAGAATGATTTGAGTGATGTTGGAGTTAAACTTCCAGAGCTTAATACAATGCAAGAGGCCTATGTCCAAATGATGCTCATCAAGGACATTCTAGCTCACAAAGAAAAAGTAGCAGAGCTTCTAGACATTTCTACATCACTGATTGATCCACAAGTCCTCCAAAGTCTCTCCCTAAGCTAGAGTCACAAGGGAAGTTCACACTGTCTTGCTCCCTTGGTAAAATCACCATGAATGATGCTCTTGTGGATAGTGGTGCCAGTGTCAATGTGATCTCAATGGAAATGGTGAAGAGTCTTGGTATTGAAAGCATGGAGCCAAACACATCTTCTCTCATTTTTGGGGATTCATCTTCTACAACCCCCATTGGCCTCATCAAGGACTACCCTTTGAAGATTGGAGAATGCACAATCCTTATAGACCTCACAGTCCTGAAGATGGAAACTGAGAAGAGAGTTCCTTTGATCCTTGGCACTCCATTCCTCACAACAGTGGGAGCATGTATTGACTTTCCAAACAAGAGGGTCACACTCCTCGATGTGAATAAGGCTGTCTCTTACCCAATCCAGTCCCCAATGGATGCTGGGTATTGTGGAACAATCACTTCTGAAGACACATTCATTGAGAAAACTCAAGCTGAAGTGGCTGTAACTGAGAAAGAAGATCTTGCTGGCAAGTCTTCCCAAGAGTTGTGTGTAAAGCACTTGGGAAGTGCTCAAAAGGAGGGGGTAAGTGGAGCAACAAAATCTGCTCATGGAGCCATTGAGTACAAGATCAAATGCAAGGGAAGGTCTAAGCCATTCTCCAGTGCAAGAGTCACCATCACTCTTGAAGGTGGGAAAGACCCTCCTTCTCACTAACTCCAAGTAAGTGCATCCTTAGCTTTGTAAATATTTAGTTCATTCATATTTTATCTCTCTTTTGATCTCTCTTCCAAGTTTACTCTCACACAAGGGACTGTGTGAAGTAAGTTTAGGGGAGAGTCTACTGTCTCACATTGTGTTTTGTTTTGTTTTCTTGTCATGAGTCTCATGCAATGCATTACATACTTATATGCATAGAAAAACCAAAAAAATTGAAAATTTTGAAAACCCAAAAAAAAAAAAAATCATGTAGGTTGCATCACTTGCATTTCTAGGAGAGTCTAGAGCCTATAGCTTGCATTCATATTCATTGGTAGCCATTATTTAGAAACACCTTGTAAAGAACACTTGTCAAGAGCTCAAAGTGACACCCTAGTTAGACATATCAAGTAGCTTAAGCATCTCTTGAAAACCTTGCACGCTTCGAGCCTTGAAAACTTTTCTTGAAACATGTTTGCTTGCTCTAAATCGACATTGTTCTTAAAACCAGCTCCAATCTGAAATTTGGATTAATGAACTTAATCTCTCTTCCATATGGGCACTTGCATACTTAATCATGGTTCTCATACACATTTGGGTTGTCTTATTCCATTTTACCACTCTTTTGTTAACCCAAATGGTACTCCTCACCCTTAATTTGAATCCAAGCCATTCTTTTGAGACCAAACATTTAATTTGCATGAGTGAGGCCTTCTTTTGATAGCTTGTCATGTGCAAAATCTTGAGAGTATTGGAGGCGACATAGGATTGTTCTCATCTCTTGCTAGCATAGGAACCTCTTTTGAGCTAGAATCTAGGATGGTGCGTGGGTTTATGTGTTCTAAAGTTAATATCTTGGATTTTGAATGAGAGATCATGAGAAAGTTGAAACAAAGTGTACCTTGAGAAAAGAAAGAAAGCCACTAGGAACCAAACCAATTGAAGAAAAGCTCTAGAATGTACCTAAAGAAAACCTTATCAATAAAAAAAAGAGATAGAAAAGAAGAGCTAAGAGTAGAAAATGTGTGAAAGGTTCCCATTTGGTGATATCAATTAAAAATAAAAAAATAAAAAAAAATAAAAAAAAAATAAAGAGAGAGAGAAGGAAATTTGTTCATTGGTGAGTGATGTGAGTAAAAGTTTATTTGGGTCATGGGATGAAAAAGAAAGGGTTAGAACTTGTGATCACTTAGGAAAAGGGTATAATGATGAGAATAAGACTATGTATGCATGAGTTGCATCTAGTCTTAAATAAATTTTGCATAATGATCATGCTCCTCGTTCTTGAGTGATAGTCACTAAAAATGATGTATTTGAACCCTTCTTTTCATTCTCATTAGATCTTTTGCTTGCCTAGCCAAATGATTGAGATCATGTGCCCATTTGTGAGAATTCACTTTGTGTGTGTGTGTGTGTGAACTAATGTGAGAGCTGGTTTAAAGACTTGTGAATTGAAAAGTATTGCATCTTGCTTAAAGGCATAAGAGTGTGTTGATAGGCCTAGAGAAGCTAGAGTGTGATAAGAGAGTGTGCTCATGCTACTTGGAATGTCTCTTTAGGATGTTAAGTTGAGTTCTTAGATGTGTTTATTTTGGCTATGAGCTCCCACCTTCAAACCTCTTTTCCCATAAGTTCTAGAAAGTTCACTTGAGGACAAGTAAAGAACAAGTTTGGGGGAGTTGATATCTTGCATATTTGCATTGTTTTACCCATTCATCCATGAGCATTTTCATCATATAGATTAGGATTTAGCCATGTCTAGGTTGCATTTTCCATTCATTGTCTTTATTAGGTGTTGGAATGTGCCATGGAGTGGTTTGAGATGTTTAGGAGCATTGTGATCCAAAAGGGGCTGAAAGATGAGCATGGATGGAGCCTTTAAAGAAATCTTCTGTTGCTAAGATTTTGTGGAGACACAGAAAATTGAGTTAGGTTTCTAATGGAAGTGGTTTCAAGTCGTTTGAAGATGTAATGAAGGAGTTATGACCAATTTACCTGAGGCATATCCATCCTGTTCGGGCATCCTGGAGCGGGGTCATGGCAGCGGGGTCAGGGGGTCGGCCCAGACCACAGCGGAGTTGTGGCAGCGGGGTTGTGACCCCGCTGTGCGCTTATGTTTGGACGAAAATACTTGCTTTCGAGGACCTTTTTGCAAGTTTGTTTTTTATGTTTTGGGTTGGAAAAACCTAAGTTTAAGTACTCTTTGTAGCCTACCAGGCAGATAATCTTTGTTCTTGAAGAGAAACCATTGAAAAACCTTTGTTTTACTTTTCTATTTCATCATCTACATGATTAATCTTGAATCTAACATAGGTTTAAGAGTAATCATGATGATTAGTGAGTAAATCACCTTTTGCATTCATGGGTTAGGGAGATTAAGGGTGATTAGGTTAGTTCTAGGTTGTTTTAGTGTAGATCATTCTTGTTCTTTGCTAGTAGAGTATTCGTAATGCATCTTCTGAGTTAACCACTCAAAAGTTGATCAATAGGCATTTCCCACCCAAAAGGTGTTCGATGAAATACCTGAGACAACTCTCCTAGACTTTTAGTATACTTTGCCAAAGACATTTGTTGTTAAAGGTGCTACGATAGCTAATAGACTTGTTAGTAATGATTGCTTTCATATTATTCAACCAAAGACATTTGATGTTTGAGATATGTTAGCAAATGAACATTCATCTAGACATAGAGCTTGTTTAGAATTGTGTCTAGGCTTAAGGTTGATAGTTTGATTGATCATTTGCCATCCTTAGTTCGAAACTTGATCACCCAAGATCTAATCCCTACTCCCATGAGTTCTCCTTTCTCTTAATCAAGGAAGTTATTTAGTTATCGTTTTTCTTATTCTTAGTTATAGTTTAAAACCACCATTTATTCGATTGCACTTAGATTAAGTGAGTACTTGCATTCTAAGTGCTTTAAAATCCCTCAGAACTGGTTCGACAATCTTTTATACTACATCATTTGTATTAGGAGCCTTGAAAACTCCTAACATCACAAGGTTATGTACAAGTTCTGCAAGCAAAAACTTATATGAATTATCAGAAAATAAACTGATCTTATGGGTTGATATTGTCATACCTCAGAGGGAGGCTAGCTTTATACCCTTCTTAAGCTGGCTAGTGAGTTCCTCGAAGTTAGATTGAGTTTAGTAAATAGAAATTTGTAACGTGAAGTTGAAGAGAAACTGAGCTTTCTGCAAGGGGAATACAGGCTGAGAAGGGATCACAGTGATTCCTTCCGGGATCTTTAGCACCTTGAAAAACAAGGGTTATCCGAACAAAGACTCAGTTAAGCGGAAAGGGAACTGGTTTTCGACCAGTGTAACAAAAGCTGCCTTGATCAGACTCTCAATTTCGGTAGGTATCTTAGCATTCTTCTTCTCCGGGTCGATTGCAAAAACAACCATTGTTCTGTTAAGGTTTCCCAAGTTTTCAGGTTCACGACTCAATTGTATAGCAGTTTTTGATAACGACATGTGTCAATAAAACGTAAGAATACGTTTGTGAATTGTGAGAAAGATAATCCATAGAAACCGAAGCATTATTTCAAAATAATATAAAACACATACCGAAGTTTGGTTGGCGCCAGCCGAAAGAAAGCATTGATATATAAAGTGAACATATATTATTCAGTAACATGCTTACATGTGTGATAAGAAATCCATAAAATAAAACATAAAAAAAAAAAAAATTGTAACTAAAAACAAAGTTGATAACGACAACTCTTCAATGGACACTCTTCAACATGCGTCTCTTGAGGCAGAATGTTGGAGGAAGGCAAACGAGAAGGAGAAGGAGGAAGTAATTGAGGATCATGAGGTACCTCCTAGTTCAGAGCCCCCTAGGACCCTCCAAATCCCTGCATGCCAAATTGATGCATCATGGATCGATAATGGTAGTGTCAGTGGCTTAGGGTGAAGTCTAAAGGATCAAATGGGTTCTGAATGGTTCGGATTACGGGCGTGTAGAAGGAGCCTATCAGCTCTGCATGCCGAGATGGAAGGTCTACTGTGGGCAGTCTCATGTGTGAGAGAGTTGAAGATGACTTCGATACGGATTGAGACGGACTGTTCGGATCTAGTGGACATGTGCACCACACCGGAGGACTAGCTGGCTCTCGTGACAGAGATCGAGATGTTTCAGCAATTTTGGGGAGGACTTCGAGGATGTGAGTCTTTCTCATATTCCGCGGAGTATAAATGGACGAGCAGATGCATTAGCTAAGGAAGCAAGGAGTAGAGGCTATTTATTTTCCCATATAGATCAGACCCGGCCAGACGGAGTTCTTCCACTGAGGATCGATGTCACCACTTGATCTAGAGTAAATGGATGGTTGACAAAAAAAAATAAAACAAAGTTGATAACACAGAAGATCTACAGTAAACAAGGAACAAAGTATTATCACAACCCTGTAAGGAACCAACTGCTGAGGTTACAAACATATGCAGAAACTGATATTATTATCCAGGAACATGAGCTACACGATAAACCTCAAAAATTACTCTGATGGAGAAAGCTAGTTTTGCCCTCTGTATAACATACCTAAACCACATTATGTCTTAAAGCAGTTTATCAGTAGATAATTTTGTTTTTCATGGTTTTATATCCCGAACTAATGAAGTCTCAATCATTAAAAAAAAGTCTGATCAAATGATTGTAAAAAACTCTTCACGGCATTATGTACTTGAGAAGTTCTATAATCGATAAATCGTTTTCTGTTATTCATTCATGACCTGAAGGTCTTCTTATATACATATCTAAGATTCAAGTTCCTATCTAGAAAAGGAGAAAACATAATATGGAAAATAATCTATTCCTAAAACTATGGGATATGGTAATATTCCAATACCCCCCCCCCTCAAGTTGGAGCGTAGAGATCTCGAATGCCCAACTTGTAGAGAAAAATGTCGAATTCTTTTCGTCCGAGTGCTTTCGTGAGTATGTCCGCTAGTTGTTCTTTTGTAGAGACATGTTGTGTCGAGATTGTTCCTTTGATGATGTAATCACGTATGAAGTGACATTCAGCTTCGACGTGTTTTGTTCGTTCATGGAACACTGGGTTGGAACTGAGATAAATGGCAGATTGATTGTCACATTTTAACGTCATTGGTGTTGTGTGATTGATGCCAAAGTCTAGAAGAAGCCCTTTGATCCACAAAAGTTCTTTAAGAACTTCAGTCATTGCTCTATATTCCGCTTCGGTTGATGATAGAGAAACTGTATCTTGTTTTTGAGATTTCCACGAGATAATAGAGGTACCAAGTTGCACAATCCATCCTGTTACAGACCGACGGGAAGCAGAGCATCCTGCCCAATCGGAGTCAGACCAGCCGGTAACATGTAGAGGAGAAGTTGCTCGTAACAGAATGCCTTGGCCTATGGTTCCTTTTAGGTAACGTATGACGTGAATCGCAGCTTCCCGGTGATCAGTGCGAGGAGCCTGCATGTATTGTGTTAGAACGTGAATGGAGTAGGCGAGATCGGGTCGCGTAGAGGCAAGATAAATGAGTCGACCAATGAGGCGGCGATACTGTCCAGGATCAGGTAGGGGAGTGCCGTTGTTTTCTTCGTCGAGGTGATGCCGTTGATCGAGAGGAAAGCCTGCTGGTTTGCATCCGAGCATTCCAATTTCGGTGAGAATATCAAGACAATATTTTCGTTGACAGAGGTAGAAACCATCGGTGCTGCGAGCCACCTCTATCCCCAAAAAATACTTTAATACACCAAGGTCCTTCATGTGAAAACGTGTCGATAAGTATGTTTTGAAATCCGAAAGTGAAGAGAGTGAGTTTCCAGCGATGATCAGATCGTCGACGTAAACGAGAACTCGTAGTGTATTTCCGTGTTTATTTGAGACAAACAAAGAGTAATCACTTCGAGACTGGATGAAACCGAATGCGCGAAGAGCATGTGTCAACTTTGCGAACCAACATCGAGGAGCCTGTTTGAGCCCATATAAGGATTTGCGTAGACGGCATACTCGGTTATCAAAATCTGAGCGGAAACCGGGAGGTAGTTTGATATAGACCTCTTCATCTAAGTCGCCGTGAAGAAACGCATTATGCACGTCCATTTGATGGACTTCGTAATCTTGTTTTGCTGCTATATCAAGAAATATTCGAACCGTAGTCATCTTAGCAACGGGGGCAAAGGTTTCTCCATAATCGATGCCTTCGACTTGATTGTTGCCGAGAACAACGAGGCGTGCTTTATATCTTTCAAGCGTACCATCGGCCTTAAGTTTGATACGAAAGACCCATTTGCATCCAAGAGCAATTTTACCCGGAGGAAGTTCTTGAATGTCCCATGTATTGTTGAGTTCTAAAGCGTCTATCTCAAGTCTCATAGCTTCTTTCCAAGCTTTATCACGCAAAGCTTCTTTGTAGGAGCGTGGTTCGGTGGCAACGGAAAGAGCTACTAAGTAACTGCGATGTGATTGAGAAAAACGATCATATATGTGATAGTCAGTGAGTGGGTGGACCGTACCTGAGGACGAAGATGGAGAGGTGGCCGTGAGGGAGGTGACGGTGACTATATTGATCGAGACTGGACTGGTAGAAACCGGTTTGATCGTGTCTGTAACGTAGTCGCTGAGTTTGGAAGGTGGTTTCTTTGTTCGAAAACCACGTCCGAGTTGATCGTTAAACGTGTCCGGTCGTTGTGTCGTAGAGTCAGGAGCTGTGGGGATAACTGCGAGTTCATCGTCTTCGACTGGTGTGGAAACAAAGTTTAAATCGGGAATATGTGATTCCGGAGGAGTGATAGTCTGGTGGTATGGAAAAATGTCTTCTTGAAACAGAACATCTCGAGAGTTGAAGATCTCTTCTTTTTCGATGTCATAGAGGCGCCAGCCTTTCTTACCGTAGGGGTATCCAAGAAAGATGCAGCGTCTGCTACGGGAAGCAAATTTGTCACCATGGTGGTTTTGATTGTGAGCGTAGCAGAGACAGCCAAATACGCGTATGTGATCGAGAACTGGTGGCCTTTTGAATAATAATTCAGAAGGGGTTTTGTCATTGAGAATCTTGGTCGGTGTTCGATTTATGAGGTAACAAGCTGTTAAAGCACACTCAGCCCAAAATTCAATTGGGAGACCAGCTTGAAAACGCAAAGCTCGGGCGACATTCAAGATGTGTCTGTGTTTTCTTTCGACGCGTCCGTTTTGTTGTGGAGTCCCAACGCACGATGTTTCGTGCAAAATGCCTTCTTGACGAAAATACTTGGTGAGACACATAAATTTTGTTCCGTTGTCGCTGCGTATTGTCTTAATGTTGCAGTTGAATTGACGTTTGACAAGAGCTATGAACTCTTGTAGTCTAGCGGCTACTTCTGTTTTGTCGGGGAGAAGATAAAGCCATAAAGCTCGAGAGTAGTCATCGACTATTGTTAAGAAGTATCGTGAGCCACAGAAAGCAGCGGTGCGATAAGGTCCCCAAAGATCACAATGAATTAATTCAAAGGAAGTAGATGCTTTATTATAACTATCAGGAAATGGAATTCTGGTTTGTTTTGATCGAAAACAGACATCACAACTAGAGAAGCAAAGTTGACTACTAGATTTTAGACGGACATTAGGGAGAAGCGCCACAACTCGAGATGATGGATGACCAAGACGACGATGCCAGAGAACACCTTCATCTGATGTAGCAGTCTGAAACGCAGTCACAGTCTCGAACCCTCGGAAGTGGTATAATCCCTCACCCTCACGTTCACCCGCTCCAATCAGCGTCCTCGTGGTGCGGTCCTGTAAAACCACAATTTTATCAGTTACTTGACCAACAAGAGAATGATCAGTGAGCAATTGGCCAAAGGAAATTAAATTCGTGTGAAACCCATCCACATAATACACATTCTTCAAGTGTATATGGGATGTCAATCGAATAGTGCCCTGTTTGTTGGATAGGTAGTCGGCTCCGGCTGCCACTGTAACAGAGACTGGGGCGACGGGTTGGATATTTGTCAGAAGATCCAGGCGGCCAGTCATATGGTGTGTGGCCTCTGTATCTAATATCCAACGAGTTTCATCGTTCTTACCACTTAGTCGCGTGTCTGATCTTGTCTTTTGAGAATTCATAAGCGTTACGAGTGTGTGCCATTGAGCATCAGTTATGCCGGCAAGTCCTTGTCGATCAGAGTCTGTAAGTGCTGTATTTGCTTTGAGGTGTGATGAAGATCCTATATGAGAAGAATTTGCTTGAGGTGTAGTCGTAGGTTCCGTTGTTTTGTTTTGTCCTCCTCGAAGATCGTTTCGGGTTCTTGGTCGGGTTCCCCACCATTCAGGGTAACCAATTACTCGAAAACAACCTTGTGCGCGGTGACCTAGACGGCCACATGTGGTGCAGGTGGTGTTAGCGTCGGGATTTGTGAATCGGGGTCGAGAGCTATTTAAATTCGTTTGGCGAGAGCTGTCATAGCTTTGATTGTTTTCTCGATTGTTCGAGGAAGAGGATGACTGCGTCGGTGTTTGTGCTGCAAAACTGAGCACGGCCGGTGGTTCTTTTTGGGAGAGTTGTTGAACTGTCTCGTTTTGAACAATAGTTTGGTATACGGTGTCGAGATCGGGGAGAGGAGTCTGAGCGCATATTTGTGATCTTACTGCTCCATGAGTTGCATCATCAAGACCGAAGAGAAAATCATGAACGCGAATAACGTCCCGTTCCTTTTCTTGGGCTTCCAAGAGATTGCAACTGCAGTTACCGCACTTGCAAGTAGTAGTTGTTAAACATTCAGCCATAGAATCCCAGATTTTAGTAAGTTTTCCGAAGTAATCTTCGACGGAGGATCCAGATTGGCGACAGCTTGCAAGAGAGGCACGCAATTGCTGGTAGCGAGCTCCGCTTTTAAGTGCAAAGCGACGCTTAATGTGTTCCCATAAATCTTTGGCTTCTTCTCGATGAGATATATTCGAACGCAGCTTTGGTTCGATTGTTAGCTTGATCCAATTGACGAGAAGATGGTTGTTCGCCATCCAATCTTCATAATCGGAGGAGTCGGTGGTTGGTTTTGGTATAGTGCCGTCGATGAAAGCGAACTTCTTCCGTGCACTTAAAGCAACACGTAGATAAATCATATGGAGATATTGTTTTCCGAGTCGGTGTTGTTGTCGCAAGCGGTCCTGCCATTGCTGTAGTTTGTCGAGTCGGTGTTTCTTTCGAAGGTCGGAGATTTCAAGATCGTAGGTCGTAGGTCGTGAGTCGTTGTTGCAGAAAAAATTTTGATTTTAGGTTCGTAGCTCTGATACCATGAGAAGTTCTATAATCGATAAATCGTTTTCTGTTATTCATTCATGACCTGAAGGTCTTCTTATATACATATCTAAGATTCAAGTTCCTATCTAGAAAAGGAGAAAACATAATATGGAAAATAATCTATTCCTAAAACTATGGGATATGGTAATATTCCAATAGTACTGTTTCACACTTTCCCTAGATTATAGAGATTTCATTCTAAAACAAGATAATATCACTTAGTCCCTAAAAACAGAATCACTGCACAATCAATTAGTGTTTTTCAGATAAGAAGTCAGGAGAGACAAATCAACAATTTATTCATCGTCATCACCGTCTTCTTCTTCTTCCTCTTCACATTCTTCTTCTTTCTCAATCTTGTTGAGAATAACATGACACAAAACCAAGTCAGTATCAGCAACAGACGGTGGGAGACTAATCTCTTCAATGAACCACTCTTCTCTTGGAGGTTCTGTTTCGCCAGGCAAAAAAATGTCATCAGATTCTTGTTCCTGCTCCGTGAGAGCATATGTACGTTTGATACCAACACCTTTTCCCTCTGGATCAAACACAGTGGTATCTTTACCGACACGTGTCCAGAGACTCCGAGGGTCTTCGCCAATACGTTTTCTGCAATAGAAATGCCATTCTGTTTCTCTTGGATAGCCTGAAAAGAAGACAAAGTTAGATCAAGAAACGTAACCAAAACATGATTCAAACATTATAGTATAAGGTAAGTATCTGACCAGGGAAATCACGAGGAGGTATTGAGAAGATGTCGTGACGCTCTTCAAGTATGGTACGGGCTTTCATTGGCTTTCCTAGAGCTTTGTACTTCAGAAAATAGTTTGCCATCATATCATCTGATGGACGAAACCTGCAGCCGGCAGGGTAAAGCCTGTGTTTTGGCTCCACTCTAGAACAAAGAAAAGAGAGGAGAATCTTTATCAATGGCCAAGACATCATCAGATGGTCAAGAAACATAAATAGAGAGAGAAGATCACATCTTTGTGGTATTGGAAGCTTTGATCAATGGTTCGACCAGTGGGGGATCAGTTTTGATCTTATCATCAATCTTGTCAGTGATATGAGCTTTGTGGGCGTTGTTGCATTCGTCAAGCAGGTCTTGCATAATCAAAACCCTTGACTGAAAGAAGACAAGACACATGAGCATAATAAACCTTCAAGTGCTACCTAATCATTTTCATACAAAAAGAAGAAAGATTTAGAAGTGTGAGTTTACGCTGGATAGTACTGGAGACTCTGCGTTGAAGGCGTTGAGAACATCTTCGCAAGCCTGTTTATGGAGCTGGTCAAATTTCGTTTTCTTGTTACTTGGGAGACAATCTTCATCAGATAATCCTGCACGGATCCGTTTTACAACAAGAGACTCTGGAACAGAGTTTAGACTCGAAGTTTCATTCTTTTCCTGCTCAAAGCAAAACAGAGACTTAAATGTTATTCTCAACTTTTCTAACTTGAATATTGAAAATGGATGGTGAAGCCCTTACAGAGTTATCAATCTTTTCATCAGCAGAGACCTGATTTATGTGATTAATCTTCCACTCGTTCATCAACTTTTGTATGATTTGAGACTTCTTCTAAAGAAGAAGAAAAACATGAGACACGAGCACAATCACAGGTTTAAACAAGGAGAAAGCGAGTACGCGAGAAAGTAAAGTGTTACGTGTGATATCGCCGAGGTTTCTGCTGTGGAAGCATGGAGAACAGAGTGATAAGCTTTTCTCTGGAGTTCTTCGAGTTTCTGTTTCTTGAATTCTGGCTCAGACTCTGACTCGTGTGCCATTGCTATCTTCCTTGATGGGCGAATCTTTCGATCTTCTACAATCACAGAGGTGTAACAGAATCAAGAACACTGGTGGAGAGAAAAAAAAAAGAAAAGCAGAGGAATACGAATCTTTGAAACCTATAAACCCCAAGTACAAAAATATCCACAAGTACACGTACCGAGGGGAGGATTTGGGTCTAAATCTTGCTTGTCCGCCATTGGAGAGAGACAGAGGAGTCGCGACGATGAAGGATTTTGTTAGGGAGAAAACGCTAACACTTCGGACGATGTCCTGAGCAAGAACGTGTTTTCAGTTGAAGAAGCTATCGAGGTTAATGGGAGAAAAGAGTCAAGTTTCTTGCGGAAGAAGCAACTTTATACTTTCTAAAGAGGTCTTTGACTATTACGTCCCTGTTTTTTGGGAGAATTAAACTCTTTTCTAAATAGGAGGAGGACTATATAAGAATTATCTAGATGTATACATAAGTGGCAATATTTGATCGGAAAACCATCTACAAAAGTTTAGTTGTATTCAAAATCAATTATATTAAAATTCTATAGAAGAGGGGGCTTGTTTCTTTTGAATTGTTTTTCTTACATTTTAAATTTAGGGTTGCTCTATCATGTACAAGCAAAAATAATTTCATGGAAGTTCTTTGGTAACATGGCATAGTTCCTTTTATGTGGTTTAATCGAATTCTTAATGTATAGATATAATGGATTTGAATTCAGATGTACATTTATGAAGAACAGATAAAGACAAAATCTCAACCAATTAGGATTTCTCAAATATGATAGTAAGGTTGACCGATGCCCAAACCAGAACCGGATCATTTGTAAGGAAAGGATTATTTTTTATTTAGCAGAATCCTAAACAACCATATGGTTGGTGCAGTATCATGGCAGCAAGATCTTGAGGGTCTAACTGGTTTTTCCGCCATCACCCGCAAATGCAGCTTTTGCGGTTGCTAGCGGTTATTGGTGTTTTACAACAATCACAGAAAATGTTATAAACCGTTTCAAATCGCTCTGAATCTCTAAAATTCAAAAGCTGGTTACAGCTAGCGTTTGCGGTTGCGGGAGGATAAAAAATAATTTTTTTTCCAAAAAACTATATAAATATAAAAATAAAATATTCAATTAAAATTTTAAATTAAATAATTGAAATACTGAAATATTTATATTATAAAATTTTCAAGAAAATATTTTCTTTAATTTTTTAAAAATTTAATAGTGCACTTTTTCAATAAAAATTTTATATTCATTATGAAAGTATGATTTTAATATTTTGATAATTATATAAAATATAAATATTGTTAATTTATTACTTAACCGCCGTTGTATTTGATGATAAACAAGTCATAAGTATCCCGCAAATGCAACAATTTTTAACTGTTGAACCAGTCGTATAAATCTCTTACTAACGCTTAAAATCACAATCTCCCGCATCTGCAAACGCCCGCAACCGCAACCGCAATCGCTGCGTTGTAACCAGTCAGGCCCTTACTCATGTCGGGGTTACGTAAAACAATTAGAAAGGGCTGCGATACGAGGGTTTGGAGTGAGCCTTGGGTTCCTGACTTAGTGGCCCGACCACCTAGACCAGCCGATTACATTGTATACAGACTTCCCCAACTCCCTATTAAGGCCTTTATTAGGAATGATACCAAGGAGTGTGATATCCAGCTTCTACAGGAATTTTTTCAGCTAGATGATTTGTTACTTGAAATTAAACCCTCCCTCTCCTCTGTTCTGGATGGATATGTTTGGAATCACACAAAGACAGGAGTCTATTCAGTTAAAACCAGATATAATCTACTCCAACTGAGCAAGACGAGCCCTACACATGAAATAATTCTCGAACCAAGTGTCAAAGGCCTCCAGAGTCATGTATGGAAGTTAAAGGCTCCAAGCAAGATGAAACACTTTTTGTAGCAAGCTATTTCGGGCTGTGTGGAGACATTAAAGAGGCTAACTTATAGACACATGGGCACCGATAGGAGTTGTCCTGGATGTGCTGGCCCAGTGGAGTCGATTAACCATCTCCTTTTTGAGTGCCCCCCTGCCATGCAGGTTTGGGCTTTATCGGACTATTCGTTCATTCCAGGTGACTTCCCGAGTATATATATATTTACCAAAACATGAACTTTTTGTTTGGGAAGCGAAAAGAAGTGGCTCCTCGGAGACCACAATTCGACACCTTCCCATGGATCTGTTGGTATATTTGGAAGGCAAAGAACGACAAACTCTTTAATAGGAAAGACGTATCTTCAATGGACACTCTTAAACATGCGTCTCTTGAGACAGAATGTTGGAGGGAAGAAAACGAGAAGGAGGAAGTAAATGAGGATTATGAGGTACCTCTTAGCTCCGAGCCCCCTCGGATTCCCCAAATCCCCTACATGCCAAATTGATGCATCATGGATCGATAATGGTAGTGTCAGTGGCTTAGGTGGAGTCTCAAGGATTAAATGGGTTCTGAATGGTTAGGATTACGGGCGTGTAGAAAGAGCATATCAGCTCTGCATGCCGAGATGGAAGGCTTACTGTGGCAGTATCATGTATGAGAGATTTTAGGATGATTTTGATACGGATTGAGACGGACTGCTCAGATCTAGTGGACATGTCTACTAGACCGGAGGACTGTCCAGCTTTCGCGACAACGATCGAGGTATTTCAGCGACTACGGGAGGACTTCGAGGTTGTGAGTATGTCTCATATTTTGCGGAGAGCGGATGCACTAGCTAAAGAAGCAAGGAATAGAGGCTATTTATTTTCCTATATAGATCAGACCCGGCCAGACGGAATTTCTCCTTGGAGAATCGACTCGACTGGTCACCACTTAATCTAGAGTAAATGGGCGGCTGACAAAAAAAAAAGTCATCCATGGATTCCAGCTTTTCCATCAACGCTTGCATGTGTGACTCAGGACTACCACCAAGATCCGTTAGGGTATGCACGATCCCATAAACCCTAAACCCTAATACCACCAAACCTTGACTAGAACAACAACGAATAAATCCCATAAGCCATTTGTTTTTAGATTGGGCACCTTCATTTGTTAGATAAGTAGCGCTTCTTCCATTTGTTTTTAGATTGGCGTGTTAGATAAGTAGCGCTTCTTCCATTTGTTTTTAGATTGGGCACCTTCATTTGTTTTTATGTCTTGTTTTTTGTGTTTATCTTCTATACTCTTAGTGAAACAAAGAGAAAGATAATGTCAAAGTAGAGAAATTTAATGGTTCACCCTGGCGTTTTTATTCCTCCCAGTGACAGTGTCTAGAACTGAAGTTGGGGGAGGAGCAAGAATCAAAGGGCTTATGCGCCAGACAGCGTTTTAGGAGCATAAACAGCTTACACATAGCTGAGATATAAAGAGTCTAACTTTCACCTTAACCTTTGAGTCAGAACAAGAACCTAACACAGCCATAGCACTTGCTCGAAAATCCGCTTTTGATTGCAATGTAAGCAAAAAAGCTATCCTTGAATGCTATTTTTTACTTTGAAATGAGTGTGGTTTACATCTTAAATGTGCAGGTTACACTGCTTGGACTAGATGATTAAACAAAAGCAAGACATTGTCAAAACCAATCATCTGATTTTTTGTTATTGTGTGTGGTTTTTTTCACACTGTGGTTCAAAGAAGGAAAGTGCAAGTTTGGCTTCACCAGTGATCATCCAACGTTGCTGCATAGAGTTTTATTATAGGCAGCAGATTTCAATTTTTTTTTCCTTCTTTTTCCAGATCATCAGTTTGATGTGGTTGCCATTTCTGATTTGTGTTTTTTTCTTGTTTTTGGTTTGTTTGATTGATTGCTATTTCTATTTTGCCTGGTTAGGACACAAGATTGTTAATCAGATTATGAGTGTTGGATCAAAATCTAGAGTTGTTTGTAACTGTTACAAAGCGAATGATAAATTCCCTAACTCCATTATCAATATGTATTTGTCATCTGTTGTTTAATTTATGATACATCAGAGTAGTCAATACACCAAGAGCCATTATGGTCCATATAAGACCAAACAAAGCCGACTTCATTATCAATGTATAAATAAGTATATTGTACATGACTTTGAATAGTTACTAAAACTATTAGTAGAGAAGTGAATCAGTTACAGGGTTGAACGGTGGCATGATCTAAGATATTCACATACGGATCAAACTTTTTTCCAGTTCAAGGAAATCACTCTCTTCATCGACCTTATAGACAATAAGTTATAGTATTTAGAGTATACGCAAAGTCCTCATGAATCTATCGAACGGAAAGAGACACAAAACCAGTACCTTACTCCACTTGGCTGCTTCTGCTCGGCTCTCGATTCAGAAGCAGGCCCGGCCCTTGGCATGTGCCCAAGGTACAATTGCACAGGGCCCATTTATTTTGACAATTTTCACTTAAGGATTTAAGGTCCTTTTCAAAACAAATTAGGGCCCTTTTTTACAGATTTTTTAAATTTATCTGTATTAGAAAAAAAATTGCATAGGGCCCATTACAACCTTGAGTCGGGTCTGTTCAGAAGACAAAGCGTTAGCGTAAATCGTCAAGCCTCTCAGTGTTTTCCTCTCCGTCCATACATACACAGCTATTATGGTCAAGTTTAAGTGAGTGTTAGACCAAAAAAAAAGTTTAAGTGAGTGTTCGGTTCATGTGAATAATGTGCTTGGATTGTACAAAAGATCTCTCATTTAATTAACGCGGCGTCGTTTCAGAGTGACGTCATAATTTAGGCAAGGGACATCACCTCCAATGCCCATTCTCCTATACCCACTAAAATCTCCTTAACCCATATTTCATAATTTTTTTTTTTGATCAAAACCTAAACCCCCAAATTAAATATTCTCTAGTGTTCAAAACTAAACAAAACTCCCTCCCAATAGATGGGTGAACCTATGGGGAAATATTTAAATTCTATAGCTTTCAAATTCGAAAAAAAATATTTTAAAATCGTTTTTAATCATATTTTGATGATTTTCGTGAAAATATGAAAAAAAACGTTTTTTGATTTTTGAAATAATTTTATCAAATTTTATAAATCAAAAAATATTCACGTTTCAAGTTTAATTTTATGTTTTTTCGTTTAACATATAAAATTAAAAAAAGAAAAGTGTCTGAGAGAGATTAGAGATATAGATGGGTGGGTCTAGGGGATGATCCCCCTTTAGGCAATAGATAAGATATCTAACCATTTCAGACAAGAGAGAGAGAGATCGTGTAAGGGAGGGAGATAGAGCAACAAAAATGGAGGCTTTGGTATGCCGGAAGCTAGGGGATCCGACGGCGACGGAGCCAGGGAGTCCAGAATCTCCGGTGGAAGTGAGCAAAAACCACCCGATCCCTCCTCTAACCTCAGATACAGCGGTGAGAGTCAAAGTCACAGCCACGAGCTTGAACTTCGCGAACTATCTCCAGATTCTGGGAAAGTACCAGGAGAAGCCTCCGTTACCTTTCATCCCTGGCTCCGACTACTCCGGAATCGTCGACGCGATAGGTCCGTCCGTCACGAAATTCCGCGTCGGAGATCGTATCTGCTCCTTCGCCGCACTCGGTTCCTACGCTCAGTTCATAGTCGCCGATCAGTCTCTCCTGTTCGTCAACACACAATCTCTCTCTCTGTCTTTGTTGCTTTAATGTGATTGAATCATGGTGATTGGTTGTTGTCTCAGGTTCCTTGTACCGGAAGGATGTGACATGATCGCTGCGGCTGCACTTCCTGTTGCGTTTGGGACTTCTCATGTAGCTCTTGTCCATAGAGCTCGTTTGACATCTGGTCAGGTATATCTTACGCTTCAGTTTCTTGCTTGCTGCTATTGAGCTTATGAAAAAGATTGAGAAGCTCCATTGGTTTTGGTACAGGTCTTGATGGTTCTTGGCGCTGCGGGTGGTGTTGGTCTTGCAGCTGTTCAAATCGGAAAGATTTGTGGAGCCGTTGTCATTGCAGTTGCTAGGTAGGTTACATGCTACTGATTCACAGGTTTTCGTGGAATGTTAGGCCGACCCTGAGATTTAGGAGACCATAATCATTAAGTCGATAATTTGGGGCTCATACGAACTTTGTAGAATAACTTTTTAAAATTCGGGAAATTAGACGAATGTTTCATCACAACCGGCCTTGGTTCTTGGTTTGGGGTTTATTATCTTATATTCGATTCGAATCTTTTTTCTTTTTTTTTGGACAGAGGGAGTGAGAAGATTCAGCTGTTGAAGTCAATGGGAGTGGATCATGTTGTTGATTTAGGCAGTGAAAATGTTATTACAAGCGTCAAAGAGTTCGTCAAGACTAGAAAGCTTAAAGGAGTTGATGTTCTGTATGATCCTGTTGGAGGGAAACTCACCAAGGACTCCATGAAAGTTCTCAACTGGGGAGCTCAAATTCTGGTTATTGGTTTCGCAAGCGGTGAAATACCTCTAATTCCCGCTAACATAGCCCTTGTTAAGGTGGATAAATTGATTTTTTTAGTAGATAGAGAGCACTAGAGAGAATCTAACACAACTTGGTGGCAGAACTGGACGGTTCATGGTCTTTATTGGGGCAGCTACAAAATCCACCGACCTAGTGTTCTTGATGATTCCATCAGAGAGTTACTGTCATGGCTTGCTAGAGGATTGATCACCATTCACATCTCTCATACCTATAGCCTCTCCCAGGTAAACACTCAACTCATCCTCATGATATCAAAACTCAAAGCACACATGTAACTAAAACACTTGTCTCATATCAGGCCAATCTCGCATTTGGGGACATCAAAGACAGGAAGGCAATAGGAAAAGTGATGATTGCTCTCGACCACAAGGCTACTCTGTCTTCAAANACCATTCACATCTCTCATACCTATAGCCTCTCCCAGGTAAACACTCAACTCATCCTCATGATATCAAAACTCAAAGCACACATGTAACTAAAACACTTGTCTCATATCAGGCCAATCTCGCATTTGGGGACATCAAAGACAGGAAGGCAATAGGAAAAGTGATGATTGCTCTCGACCACAAGGCTACTCTGTCTTCAAAGCTATAGAGACTCTATGTAGCCATAGAAGAGAGAACCGGTTCTGTTTCTCCAAGTTTACTATGTCATAATGTAATTTACCACATCCTGTTTGAATTTAATAATCATGACTTTGTTTGGATTCTCTAGTAATCACCTTTTTTTGCAGAATAAATTTCAGAGTATGTTACTGTTTTGGTCTATGGGTTTATGTAAACTGGTTTTCGCTTGAGGGAAGATCAAGGTTCTGTCTTTCCGGTTAGTACCGGTTTAAGCATAAAAGAAACCAGTACAGAATCCAGAGAGACAAAAATGTATGAGACTATCATATATCTATGTTGTCTTTTTTTACAAAATTAGCAAATCAGTTATTATGGTTCATCAAAACCACCTGCATCATCAAGAAGAAAAACGTCTTCATATCTTTTATCGAATGCTTTTGTGATTTGACTCCATCCCTACCTGAATTCTTCATGTTTTTCTTTCAATCTCTTCCCATTAGAATAAAATTGTTCTGAATCCATGAACACAAATCAATAAAATCTGGAAAGCTTTATATCTTCTTTTCTTTCTCTTTTTTTAGGATTTATATCTTCTGTTGTCATTTGAATTTCTTCTCTTTCTTTTTCTTACAATTGTTGTGCATTACAAATAAGGGTTTTTGATTCTCCGTTTTGTTTGATCAAAATGTTGAGCCAATGAGAAGCAAATTTGGAATTGGTTGTGTAAAGAGTTGATGGGAAACCGTTGTGTAAGAACTCCTTGTTGTAGAAAGGTAATGACTAAATCCTTTAAAGGTTTTGGTTCTTGAATTTTCTTGTTAGCTACAACATCTTGTGTTTGAGTCTTGTAGTGATTCAATGTCTGGCTAGGCATAGCTTATCAGATAAGATGAATAATCTATACCAAGAAACCGGCAACATAAAACTCTATCATGTGTTTTGGTTCTTGATTTTATTGTTAGCTACAAGATCTTGTGTTTGAATCTTGTAGTGATTGAATGTTTGATTAGGCATATGAAGAATCTATGCTAAGAAACCGGTTACATGAAACTCTATATATGTATTTACAGGTATGGTCATGTATATGCTGCAGCAACAACAACAACAACAACAACGAGGCTCAAGCCCGAAGCCACCATGGGTCCAAAGGAAAGGTCCATCCTGTAACCAAAATAGAGAAATGGGAAGAAAAGATCACAGAAGCTAACAACAATGGCCAGATTGTAAGCTTTTTTCTTCTTAAAAATATGTTGACATTTGCTTCGAGTAACTAACTTAATCATTCAATCAAATATCAAACAGCTTGTGGTGTATTTCAGCGCACCGTGGTGTGTACCTTGTAAAAAGATAGAACCAGAATTCAGAAAACTTGCTTCTAGATACCCTTCAATGATATTTGTAACCATTGATGTTGAAGAACTCGCTGTAAGTAAAACCTAAAAATAGACTGTTTTGAGAAGAAGTGTTAGGATTTGAGATTGAATTTGGTGAAAATAAAAACACAGGAGTTTAGTGATGAATGGAATGTGGAAGCAACACCAACGATAGTTTTCCTTAAAGATGGGAGACAAATGGATAAGCTTGTTGGTGCTGAAACCTCAGAGCTTCAGAAGAAAACAGCTGCAGCTGCAGATCTCTTACTCAAAAAACCATAAACTCTAAACAACAGATGAGAAACAGAGTTAGTTTTTCTTTCATCCTCTGTCAGAAGTTTGTTCAGAGGAAGTGATTTCAAGAATTTACTTGCGGATGAAGTAAGTGTTATGAAGTTTATTAATCCTTGAAGATTTGACTTACTAAGATTTATATTCTTTTTCTAATGTTGTTTCAAACAAATCATGGAGATGGAGAAGAGTTTGGTGAGGAAGAGTTTATATAGCAGCCATGCCTTCTTTGGTTCTCATTTGTGCAAATGCATTTGTTTCTATTTTATATATTCTCAGATGGTTATAATGTTTCCAACAGTAAAAGAACACTTCAAGTGCATATTTGTATAAAATTCTCTATTAATTTTACTGTATTCTATTTGAAAACCTGAACAAACGTTCAAACACGGTAAAGAATGAAAGATTTTTCCATACAAATTTGTTGGTAATGCAACTACTAGTCACATAATAAACGTTAGAAAGAGTTAGCGTATTATTCAAGCTCAAAATGCATTGGTCAATAATACTTTTGCTTTATGTTGGCAAATTACAAAGTTGCACGTTGAATTATTTCTTATATTAGTATTTTATTTATAAATAAAACATGTTCTTTATATATAAAGAAAGATCCAATCAATTATAATTACAAAAGAATATAAAGACAATGAAGTTGCTGTTTATTGGCGATCCCCAAAGTTGACTTTTCAGAACCGGTCGTTACAACTTAGGAACTGGACCTCAACTTTTGTCTCTCATCAATGCAACTCTCAGATCTTAATTTTCCACAAGTAAAGAAATAAATAAACAAGTACAAGTCAGTTGAACCATCATCACCTTGACCATTATACAATTTGATATTTTTTTGTTATCGCAGTTCATGTGCCTGATCTGATTCGTATATAGTAATAATATCTCCTCCTTGCTTGCTTGAAAGATCATCATCAACAGAAGGCTTTGTAACCTGAAGACAGAAAAGATCATTCATCAAAGATAAGTCAATCACCAAACCATGATGAAGAAGAAGAAACAAAGTAGATCCCAATCTTCTACCAGGGAACCATCCCCAGATTCTTCACCTTCACCTAGGCTCCTCTCCATTTTCCGCTCCAAGGTAACTTCTTTCTTCTCTCTCTCTTAGGCTTGTGATCCTTCCTATGATAAAATCTCTGGTTCTGGATTTAAGCTCTTGTGGTTATTTCTGTAGTTGGTAAGTGGTAAAGACTTGAAGCATATGTTCAGAGGCATGAAGACCAAAACCGCACCTGGACTGTCTTCTCAGTCTAGAATCGTGAGATGTCCCAAGTGCCACAAGCTTCTACAAGAACCTATAGATGCGACTATTTATAAATGCAGTGGATGCAACTCGATTCTTCAAGGTACAATAATAGCCTTCTTTAAGTCCCCCTCCCTAACCTTGCTTATATTCACAAGTAAAGTAACCTTCCTTGTGCTTAGAGTTCTCTGTTTCTTATGTTCTTTCTTTGCATGTAGCAAAACGTTGGGAACTGGAAAGTAATAGTGACTCTATTCCAGAGGCTCTCCTTTATTCTCAAAACCGTAGTTTAAGTACACAGTTAGAATCTGCAGAAGGTGGTAGTCAAACTCCAATGAGTAGTTACCGGAAGTACAACTCAAGGGCTTCCCCTTCTGTTGACAGGGGTTATCATTCAGAAACTGTTTACAAGCATGAGACATCTGATATTAGCAAAGAATGGATGAGAAGGGCTGATGAGTTCAGTGTGACAGGTGACTCTGATGCGTTTGCTTCAGCAAGAAGCTCTCCGTATAACTCACGCAGCAATGCTGCATCGGAGTGGACACAACATGAGAGGAGACATCAAGAGCCGCCTCAGGTCCCTTTTTATCCAGCTAGTCCTTCCCCTTCTTCTGCATATGAGTATGGCTACACTAGTCCCTTTCACGGCTCTCAAGCTTCTGCATCCGAGCAGTCTTATTATCATCATCAACCAAATCAATTCAAGCCAAAGGACAGAGAAGGCTGGTTTCAAGAATCTCCTGCTGCTTCACCAATTCGTTTCCCTGGTGAGACATCTGATAAAAAATACTATCCCTCGTCTTCTCAGTCTCAGGTTCATGATCCTCGGTATCATAATCTCTATGGACCCAGTAGCTCTGCAACCTCGCATCGCTCTGTGTACTCTGAGCGTAGTTATCAAGCAGATACAACGCCCCTTCGTTCCCAATACTCTGAGCATCCCAAGAGTGGAACAAGTAAAGAGAAGAGCTCTCAGAGGGGGAAAAAGAAGTATGTCAGAAAGAAGAATCCGGTGGTGAAACGCTATGTGCTTCCTTCAGCGGGAGGAGCGCCTTTTGCAACTTGTTCTTATTGCTTGGAACTTCTACAGCTTCCTCAGGTGTCTCTCCGTGGAAAACATAAGATGTATCAAGTGAGATGTGGCAGTTGTTCCGGTGTACTTAAGTTCTCTGTCCGAGAGAAGGCAGATACTGTCCTCGGTTCACCTGGTTTTGCTGAGGAGACTGTTACTAATCATCAGGATTCAGCTTCAGAAGGTCATGAAGAGATTAATCCGGATGGCTCCACTTCAGACAACGGCTCCGGGGATAGATCCAGCAAAAGCAACGATGCTGTTATCATGAGGCGGAATATGGAAACGTTTGAGGATAATGAGAGTAAAGAAGACACAAGGAGCATATCAAACACAGTTTTAGATTCGAAAATGGAGGCGTTGCAGCCTTCTATGAACTACAAGTTAAGGGATCAACAACCTGCATCAAGTGAGGGGATCGGAGTTTCAAGAAACCATCTAGAGCAATCTGAGGAAGCTGAAAGAGTCAGTTGCGATATAGAGGAGGCTAGATTCAACGAGAAGAATGAAAATCTTAAGCCAGAAGATATGTTTGGTAAATCCTTAGAGGTTCAAGTATACAAGAACGAAAAAATGAGTGATTCAAGTATAGAAGCTGAGACAGTTTCAGATAGCCCGGTATCTCATAGTGGTCAAGCTGAAACACGTGTGCTATCTGAGAAAACCGGAGACACTCAAGTGCTTAATTGGGAGGAGACTCAAGAACATGAAAGTGAATGTAAATGGGAAAATATTATGGGAGACAAACCGGGTTTGATTTTGGAGAAATCTCGGTACAATGGAGATTCAATCTGTGACATCAGCTCATGCAATGGTGAAATATATAAGGATACAGCGATCAAGGAAGATATAAAGCACATAGCAGCTGCACCACAGAACGAGAACCAGAGGTTTATAGAACATCCTGACCAGTCAGGTGAGGCTACAGTAACAACATCCAGGATCCATGAGGAGCAGTCTAAGTATGAGTATGAGAACTTAAGCAAAAGACAAGAGTTGGATAAGAACATTAGTGACAGATTCAGGTATGAGTTAGAGGAGTCTATATACGAGACAGTTGAGGCTCTTGATACTGGCAAAGTAAGCGAAGATGGATATGTTGTTTCTCTCACAAAGGCGAGTGAAACATTAAAAACAAGCATAGAAGGCGAGGAGAGTTTCGCGTCTCATCAAATGGATCCTCCAAACGAGAATGGAGAAGATTCCTATGATGAAATACTTGAGTGTGCAGGTGAACGAACATGGGAAGAGACTATGGAAGATAGAGCGGTGTTACATTTGGAGGAATATGAAACCAACTATGAGAACTACAGCAAACCATTTGTAGGGACGATAAATGAACCAGAAGAGGATGCTGATGGAAGATTGGAATCCAGTTCAAGGAGTTCCTTCAGTGACCATGAAAGTTTAGAAGAGAGTGTTTTGTTGCAGGAATCTCAAGATGCTAAACCAGATCAGTCCCAGTATGAGTATGAGATACCAAGCAAAAAGGAAGAGTTAAGTAATACCGTTTTTGACACAGAAAGGCATGAGATACAGGAGGATAGATACGAGTCAAACGAAACATTTGAGCCAGCCAATATGGTCGGAGATGGATCTGTTGTTTCTCTTGAGAAGGCAAGTGAAACAAACATAGGCGAGACAGGTGAAGAGAGGTTAGTATCTCATCAAATGGCGCCTCGAAACGAGAATCTAGAGGCAATGGGAAATGAACCCGAGTTGCAGTTGGAGGAATATCATAGCAATCCACATGAATGGACTTCAGAAAGAGCTCCAACATTTCGTCTGCATGAGTATGAGCTAGGGACAATGCCTGCATCAGAAGACAATGCAAATGAAAGACCATCCAGTTCAACGGTTTTCACCAATGACCATGAGGAAGCTGTGGCTCACGAGGAGAATTCGCTGGTGGATGAGAACAAAATGGGAGAGCTAATAGTTACTCTAATGGTGGAAGATGGACCATCATTGCACTTGGAGAAGTGCGGAAATGATTCAACATTTGAATGGACAGAAAGAGCTCCAAAAATTCATTTGCATGAGCTAGGGACAATGCTTGAACCAGACGAGCATGCCGATGGAAGATCAGAATCCAGATCAACTGGTTCCTTCAGTAACGATGAAAGTTCAGAGTTGAGAGCTGTGCTCCACGAGGAGGAGGAGCAGCTAATCAGCAATAGCAGAACTGAAAAGCTACAACTACACGAAATGACAGAAAATAAGGTATCACTTGGCTTGGAGAAGGGTGAAAACGGATCAATAAAATTGGAAGAGACATTTGACTGGACTTCAGAAAGAGCTTTAACGTTTCGTCTACATGAGTCTGAGCAAGGGACAAGGCTTGAACCAATCGAGCATGCTGATGGACGATCAGAAACTAGTTCAAGAGTTTCCTCCTACGAAGATGTAATTACAAAAGAAAGAGAGATAAACCATGAGGAAGAGCCCAGGCTGGTGATTGATAGCAGAACCGAAGCGCAACAAGTAGACGAAATGATAGAAGATATATCACTGGACTTGGAGGGTGAAAATGAAACAAGGAAACTGAATGAGACATTTAAGTGGACTTCAGAGAGAGCTTTAACATTTCGTCACCGTGAGTATGAGCTAGGGACAATGCATGAACTGGACGAAGATGCAGATGGACGATCAGAATCTATCTTAAGAGGTTCCTTTAATGACCATGGAGTTTTAATAGAAAGAGCTGTTCTCCACGAGGATGAGTCTTGGCTGGTGGACGATTATGAAACCAAAGCGCTTAAAGCAGGCGTAATGGCAGATAACGAACCATCACTGAACTTGGAGAAGTGTGAAAACGAAAAAGTGGTATTGGACCAGACACTTGAACCAAGACCAAGAGGTGATATATTCAGGCTCAGTCTTGATGACACTCAGACCTTTAAACAAGGTGACACTGAAGAAAACATACCAGCATCTGAAGGCCATGAATCCCCAAGTAAAATGGCTGAAGAGGATATATTGGGAGACCATTTACAGCATTTGCAGATAGAGAATGAGAAGTCAGGACTAACCTCTGAACCATATTCTCATTTCTATAACACAACAGACCCTTCTGAGATTGTGGGGCTGCGTCTTGCGTTATATGAAACCCAAACTTCACCTCTACGGTCACCTCTCAGTTCACCAATGCATACTCCCATGGGTTCCCCACTGCATATCCTGATGCGTTCTCCAATTGCTTCACCAATGCATTCCCACATAGTTTCACCAATGCGTTCTCCCATCAACTCATCTGGATCACTCTCTGATGTATTGTTCTTCGGCAAGAAAGCTTGAGGACAGTACTAAAGATAATCTTTCCCCACATACTTTCAAGACTTTACCTGCGATGCAAAACAGTGTGTACATTGTTTCAATTTTGTTTGCAAGTGAATGGATTACATGTAATGTAAGTTTTTCTAAGGCTCTTTAAATAGAGCTGTGCTCTTCATTTAATTAAGCAAGCTCATCATCACTTAAACAATCGAAGTAACACAGATCAATGAAAAACAGGTCTGATTTTTCTGTAAAAAGAAATCAGGAACTACATATACCTTAACAGATAGAAAAGTCCAGATCATATGAACAATAAGAAAGCTGCACCTAAATGCTGTATCTACTCTAGACATAACTAAGGTCAATGTTAGTTTTCTCTGTTTATGCAAGTTAAAGAGAAATATCAAGTAATTCTTTTTTTGTCTACGAAACCTGAACTGAAACATAACACGTTTGATCCACATGCTCTTCTAAAATATAGCTAATGATTCCTGTACTTTGATTATCTTCAAAGAGAATGAAACCAGCACAATCAATATGAACCTTAAATGAGTGTATACTACCTTATTAGCCTACTCTGGGGGAAAAAAGAGAGTAAACTTTCAATCTTTAAGCAGATTATCAGAACTAAAACATTCACAGGCTGAAGAAAACAAATTAAAAGAAACAATAATTATTGAGCTGATAAATCCAAGAAGCTCAGGAACGGACAAAACTCTCTGTCCTCTGTTATATCTAACATACTCTACTTCTGGGGTTACTCGAGGAATGTCTTCCTTATCCAATCAAATGGGATGTGTCCACAAGGAATTACGTGTCAGAAATTTAAAGAAGACCCTGAGTTTTAGGAGGACTAACCATTTCAAACACAATGTGATTCCCAGTTACTACAGTAATGCTTATCTTCTTCCTTAATTTCAAAATGTTAGTTGCAACAAAAAGTTTGAAACTTTGAATACGCCCTCCAAACACAAGCGTTCATAATCCATCAGAAAAAGTAATTCCACAATCAATTTCAAGAAGCTAAATTTTTTTTTTTTTTCTAGAGAAGCTAACAGTTTTTTTCTTTTTTAGAAGATAGGAGAAAAGTATTAACTAGTGCTTCATAAAAATTCTGAATTGCAGTTGAAATTAAGATAAAGGTGACACAGCTTAGATCACAAGTCCAATCTACTTCAAAGTTGCGATCACAGATCAAAGTTGTTTTTTTTTTCCTTTACTACCTTCTAAACAAGTTAGCGTATAGAATCAAATTGGAGAGGAAACTAAAATCTATTCGCAAGGAAAAGCTAAAGATAAAAAAAAAATGAAAGGATTCAGACGGCGTTAGTGGCAATAATCATTACGCCTTGGATTAAGACCAAGTTGGATACTCGCTTTCGATCACTACGTCTTCTCGTTTGAACCTTTAGAGACTTAAGTGGCTATAATCAGTTCGACGATTCGCTCAGTATTTTCACACTTGATGCCATCTTACCCCTAAACAATCGAACAACCTGCCGTTTTTAAATTCTTTCTCCCGTCGCCTTATTTCTCAAGGACAATTTTAATTTTTTTTTTAAACTTTAGTCTCCTAAAATTTTGCACAATATTAAGCAAAAAGAAAATACAGCTAAGCAATACGAATGACGCGTTACATCTTCACGGGGTGAAAGAAGCCAACTACTACTCATTTGTAGGGTTTAGGGTTTGATCAACAAACAAAAGTCCACAACTCATTGTCTTTCCCGCAGAGTAATTTCCCTTCAAACGGTGCAATAATATATGATTACAGTCTACTTTGAATAAAAGTCTAGTTTTGGAGTATCTTCAACTTTCCCTTATTGCAACAATGCCTAAGTTACACGTCTAGTTAATTTATTTTTAATCCAAGTCTAGTTTGGGAGTATTTTCAAATATCACTAGTGACAATAATTCGTATCTTGAATTCTCATTAACAAAATAATACTATATATTTAGCAAGACTGGTTCCAAGTCATCGAACTTTAAGGAGTTGCATCACCTGCAGCATTCGTCGTTTGAATCTGCTATTATTTCCTAGAACATTATAGATAATATATATAAGTTCTAATTTATTTTATTATACTTGCATTCAACAGAAAGTAAAATTCCGTGATTTCCTTTGGATTGTTTTATAACGAACTTACAATTTTTTCTTTTTTGTTTTATGTGAAGCATTTACTGATTTTTGTATATGATTAAATGCTTGAAAATGAGAACTAACTATAACTAGACTTTGTCCGGACGGGTATTTATTTTATGTTTTATTTATATTAAATGATGTATTTATAATATTTAAACATAAATTTTTGATTGAAAATTAATCTTTACAGTTATAATAATTCAAATTAAAAATTTAATCAAATATTCGAATACAAATTTTAAATTTCTTAATTAAAATAATATAGAGGTGAGTCCTAATTTTATCCAATTCCAAAATCTTAACATCAAAAACAAAAAACAAAAAAACAAAATTATAAATACATAAAATATATAAACATATTTAGAACTATAATTTCTACTAAATAAATTTCTTAAAGAAAAGTAACATATTATTTATTACTAATAAATATTAAATATTTAATATGTTAATACCAAATATATTAGGAAATTTATTTTGGTTAAGATTTGACTAAGGAAATCTATTATTTAAATTAGGAAAAGACAAGCATGCTTAAATATAAGTCCAGTAAATATTTCAATAGCATTCTAATGTAAATAACTGATGAAATTAAGGGTTATTTCTATTTAGTACTTCTTTTTTTAATAATATAGATGATCGATGTCTCAGAAAAAAAAATATAATGATCGATATGTATGGATTCAAACAAAACTCAAAAGAGATTAATTAGAAATTTCAGCATGTAAAATTTTTTTTCTTTTAAAAAAAAATAATTTCTTCATGTAATCTATTTACAAAAAATAATAGATTTTCAACTTTAAAACAGTTAGACCACAGATATAATATGTAATAAATTATAATTCTAGGCTTTGGGAGACATGAATCTAAGATTGTGACTGTTTGAGAGTCATGGAAGTTGTGACTTAACGTTGTAAATTTATAAGAGTATTCTTAGCTTTAACAAGCAATCAATTTTTCCGGGTATTTTCCATTGAATTTCCTTATTCAGTCTTTTTCTCACTTTTTATCATGTTCCCCGGCCCGCCTGAACAACATGAAATATTGGAAATGAAGTATTATTTCCAATGAGAACTTTCTCACTGTAGATATGATATATGAAGCTTCCTCTTGTTTTCCTTGTTTATATTTTCCCTTTTGATCGCACCCAAACTCATATTGGTGAAAAGCAAATGTTTGCATTTATACAATTATTGGTCCCAGCATACGATACCCACTACTCACCCCTTTCGTCATAATAATTATTTTTAACATCGCAATCAACTGTATCTTTTTGACTCTACGCTCCGTTTTAGAGTGTATGCGATTGTTGAACAGTATTGCCTAACAGTTTTCAAATGATTAACTATTGGTTTAATCATAGTTTTTTTTTTAACTTAAAATTATTTGGTTTAATCATAGTTTTGTTTTCCTTTTACTTAACAATGCGTTTATATATATCAACATTGTTCATTTTGTGAGAATTGATGAGAAACGTTATGTTACAACAATCTTTTTTTTTTTCCAATAACATTTCTTTAAAATTGAAAGGCGGTACTTTGAGTCATAACTATCGATACCATTAAAACAGAAATATTCTGTTTAATGAATTTTTAATTTTTTCCAATTATAACCTTAATGCTATTAACACAAATTTTTTTTATTAATGGCAATTTAGTCTTTTTCTAGACCTAAAATCTATTAAAATATGAATTTTTTAATGCGTTTACTTTCTTTCATATTTCTAAGAATATTTCTTCCAAAAATCTGTTTTCACACACGATTATTTGTTTTCACACACGATTATTGCATTTAGATATTATTCCCAAATATTCTTATAGCACCACAATATATGTGTCCGCAAAAATATGTATTTTACACGAAACGGATGTGGGTTAAGTGTATTTTACACGGAACGGGTGTAGATTGTTCTAATTTCACTTGCGGATACCCGGTAATCCACAAAAATAGAAAAACAATTTTTTTTAAAAAAAAGTTTTTTTTTCAAAAATATACTAAATTTCGTAAAAATAATTATGATATTTTAAATATTAAAAATATACTATTTAATAATAAAAATAATTATTTTTATTATCTAATAATTATCTGCGGGTTCCGCGGATTACCCGTAAAACTAAATGGGACGGATGCAGGTAAAATATATTTTCTTTGCGGGTAAGGCGGGTCAGGCAAGGCGAATTTGACCCGCTTCCCAGCACCAGACGTTGTTAATTGATATTATTTTTCCATGATAAAACTACACAGTTACCTACAATATATTGACACAGATATTGATGATAACAATAAATTAAAATCTGCATTAAATTTAAAAAGTTATATTAGATAGTGACATTTTATATCATCAAAACAAAAGATTTATCGATCTATATGTAGATAAAACAATAAAAATGGTACCCCACTTTTTAAGCACGGGTCAAAAATCTAGTTTACCTTTTATTTGCCCAAAAAAAAAAAAAAAAAAACTATGTACCTTTTACAATTTGTTAAGCGCGGGTCAAAAATCTAGTTTACCTTTTATTTGACCAGAAAAAAAAGAAAAAAAAACTATGTACACTTGTAATGCAGAGGCACTAGATATCGAACCCACACACAATTATATATCAACAACAACAAGATTGTTACAAACGGCAAGCTCTAATTCAGCAAGTGAGAAGCTCTACACCGTTGCGTATGTCACGTTCTTTTGAAAATATATGTGTCCCATGCATTCCTGATGCAAATAAATAACAAAGTAAAGCTATTGTATGTTAAATATAATAGAGTTATTGTGGTGAATCGTAAAATATGTTAGGTGAATAACCATCACCTTTCCGAAATTAGCTATATAGTCATGATCAACTGAGTGAAATTTATGTTCTCTCTCTATCACTAAAAATTGACCAAATCTCGTGTAGACATACGTATCTTCATCTACAGAAGCACTATGACAGATATTGTCGGGATATCTGGAGAGAATAAGTTGAAGTACTTTTCAGGAAACTAACAAAATATGTGTTTGATGATTCACCGGATTCTCTAAAAAGATGATTCTTCGAGCAGGTTATCTAAGCCTTTTATCTTGGAATTTCACTGACAAAATAGTAAGATTATTGGTGTTTCAAGAATCCGTGATTGTAATTATTTGTTTTCATTTACCCGAAAGACATATTCAACAGACTGAAGTGTTTTTTATTGAAACATAGGGGATCGATCATGCCCTTACATCGTTCTGAAACAAGTTTGTAGTTGAAACAATAGATTGAAAGTAGAAAATTACGCTTATTTTCTACAATTATAAAGTATTGCAGTCGTGGCAACTATAATTAAGATCCATGTGGAAACCATCATTCTCCGAATTGTCTGTATAGATTCTTGAAAACGATCGTACATTTCCTGATTTTCATCTTCTACCTCCACATGATCACGAGGCCTCATCCTTGCTCTGGCTGTCTCCAACATTGCTGTAGTTTCGTTTAATGAAGCTCGCAGAGCTTATGTCTATCGCTTCTGTAGACGGATTTGATCTCTTGCCTCCAATAAACTTACCTTCTGCCACATCATTTGCGGTTCCTTATCGGCCCAACAGACAAAGCCATGTTCCCCACATCGATAGAAACGACGACCCGGGTTATCGTCAGTCCACGAAACTGCAAGTGATGTTTGTTTCGCACACCGACACAGAGGATTAGCTCCACCGCTCCCGGTAATTTCTTGAGTGGTTGCTGAGGAACTCGCCGACCTTGACATTTTTTCTTTTTCTCCGAGCAACCAGAAGTTTTGATTAAAGTTAGTCTCCGTATGTTTTTAAAATTGTAACAGTGATTTACTCGTCTGAGAGAAGAACTAGACAGGTGTCAGTCATCTACTGGGAGCAGTGGAGCTAATCTTATCTACTCGAACCAGACCCGGTAGAAACTCGGTTTGTTATCGAGTTAACCAAATTTAAATTATGCAACCGGAAACTCCAAAACCCTAATCGTGTGGCAAAAGAAGGGAAGTGAATTAAAAAATAATTAAGCGAAGATATTTTCTCCACTCTGTCAGTTAACGTTTCATAATCATGACCTTACGATGTCATAGACCTAGGCTTCGCGTCTTGTCATATGTGAGCTGGATTCACCATCTTCTGCATATATCTGTATCTATCTCCGGTTTCTTCCTCGTTTCACGCTATAAATCTGCAGTCGCTGGATTCATTTCTTCAAACCAAACCATCAATTTCCAGTTTCTTAAATTTACTATCGTTTCTGCGAAGCATCTTTCCGAAAAGGTGACAATTTTTTTTTCTTCTTCTTCACCAAAACTGTCGGTCTATTTTTGGGCTGCGGGGTCTTATTTTTTCTGTTCATTTTTTGATTGTTTACATCTGTTGCAGAACACGTCATTTTTGGGGTTCATGTTAGTTAATTAGGTCTTCCGAAATCATCACCTTTTTTAGTTACAAAACTTACCCGGGTATACTATAATAGTTAGGCTTGATTTGTTCCAGATGGATCCTTTACCTTGTTTTCGTAATATCTGGTTTTACCTTCTAGGGTTTTGTATGGTGTATATATGATATGGTATCGTTCGTTTAGTGATTACATATTATACTCAATTAGATCTACAGTTTCAGTAACGTATTTGCTATTTACCTAGTTTTTTTTTCCTTTTATATAGATGGGAAGATTTTTATACCTTGAACAAGGCGTTTGGGTGAAAGATCATATGGGAGATTGGAGCTTTATGAACACTGTTGACTATTATGGTGAAGCTATACTAGCTCGGGAGAATGAGACCTTTGAAGATTTTCAAAATATTGTTAGGATGCGTTTGGAGTTGGCTCTGACACCCCTCTTGCTCTGACTTATCATTGGCCTGAGTGGATGCTTGTGCCTAACGGTCCACGACCTCAACCGGTCAACATCTCGGAGACAAGAGATGTAGAAGTTATGATGAGTCTCAGTGATTTTCGCGATGTTCTTATCCTATTTGTGACATCTAGTGCTGAAGAAGTTGCACGATACCAGTTCTACTGCAGGACTTCTTTCTTGTTTGGTAACACAAGATTTCTTGGTCCTGGAGTTTTGGAATCTGCTCATCGTCAGTTCATAAGAGGTATTTGAACAACTTTTATGTTTTCTACTTTATAATTTTTTTTCTGATATGTCCTAACTTTTTGTTATAAAAATGATTAGACATGTCAGGTAATCGTCCATTTTCCTGCGCAACTAGGATGCTTGAGATGGTGTGTACTCAACCACAGCTCCTGGATATGTACCATATGTCCCTTGAGATTCAGCTCGCTCTATCTACACTACCAGGAAATGATGGCATGAACATTGCCCCAGTTTATAATCCCATTCCGCTTCAAACAGTTCCTCCTAACAGGGACTATGAAGTCCCCATCGGAATCCCAGTTGCAACTCAGTTAAACCATCAAGGTAATAAAATATTTTAATATAAGTAATTACCAAATATTTACACATAACCTCCCTCATAATTTTGGTACATGGCCTCCCACTCATTTGGTTTTAACAGGTGGAACTGCAAATGTGTGTGGCACCGTAAATGCGACTCATGCTATGGCATTTACGCCCATTTCACCAGACCACCCTTCTGACATCTTTCGTGGTTCTAGCTTGGACATTGAACGCAGCCGATCTATCAATATGCCACACTCTCCACATACTGACATTGTTGATGATGCTAACAACTGGGAAGATGACCATGTGGTTGCCACTCCGACTGATTCCCAACCTCCGCTTCATCAGCCATCATCTTTCATCATACGCCTATCTTCTGATATAACTCCAGTGCCATCTCCACCACATACCAAAGGAGGTTGTAGGGAAGACGCAGGTGTTGGAGGCTCATCCTCTGATTCTTCTGACGAGATTTTTGTTGTCGGTACCATGCATGGTAATAGTAATCGTTATATTGCCCTACTTAGTTAATCTTATTTTATAAAGTGTCTTTTATATGTATCTTAATTAATCATCAAATGCAGCTGTGCCTACCATGAAATACAATGTTGTGGAAACTCTTCAGACAAGGAAAAAATGCTTTTCAGCTTCTCCAACTTATGGAATGAATGCTGGAGGACCGTCTCTTGATCTTAGCCTTGGGTTTGGTGGGACTAACACAAGGGCTGCTGGTAACTCGGTTGTAATCATTAATGACTCCTCATCTGAAGTAGCAGGAGATAATGGTGGGTGTAGAAAGAAGCCTTAGAATGTTTGGATGGTTGTTTTTTTTTTTGTGAAAACTATTCTCGCTCGACTTTTGGTCTTCCGGTTTGGGGATTATCTTATGTATTAGATTAAACTGGATATGTTATCTTTTGAAAAATGGTATTATGTATTTTAACCGGATCTGATATGTTAAATTAAAGAATCTACTGTTTTTAAATGTTAAATTAACCAAATATGCTTCTAAATTTTCAAAATAGTTGCAGCTTTAAATTAACTTTTTCGCATGTTTAATACATTACCTTTATTTTGTTGGGGGATGTAGGTCACCTAAAAAAACAACACCGATGATGTCTTTGTTGGCATGACCTTCCAATAAAGGGAATCATTTAAACACCATATTGCAATGTATTCCATAAGGAACAAGTTTAGATTTCGTATTTCCCGATCAACGCCAGATGGGATGGTACTAAGGTGTTACAGCAGCACTTGTAAGTGGCGCATTTATGCAGTTCGCCTCAGAAACGATGACCTATTTGAGATCCGTCGGTTTGAAAATCATCACTCTTGCTCTGTTGATGATAGGGCAGGTATGCACCCAACTTTTTATTTTAGCCAAAAAATGTCTAATTATATGTATGCATGTTTACAATATCGTTACTTTATAACTGAAAACTGTATCCCTAACTTATATTAGGAATTTTTACAATATAAAATGGCTGTTTGCTTGCATGTATGCTTAACATTGACTACATTTTCTTTACCTTAACCACTGAGATATTATTATGAATCCCCGTTATGTTACCTGATACCAAATTACGCAACCTGGCGTTATAACAAACATATAAACACCCTACTAATCCGGCTGAGATTATGCAGGTCATGCAGGGTGACCACAATGTTAGAATATCATATTCGAAGGCATGGCGATCCAGGGAGGTTTCTTTGGATTATGCTAAAGGAAGTTCTGGTGCTTCATACAACCTCTTACCTAGCTATTTGGACAGACTCCTTCATGCAAATCCTGGATCAGTCACCGAAATGCAAACAGATTTTGTTGAAGGAGTTGGTCACATATTCAAGTTTCTATTTGTTGCATTGGGGGCTTCTGTTGTAGGTTTTGCTTTCATGAGGAAGGTTGTTGTCGTGGATGGGGCTCACCTAAGGGGTAAGTATGCCGGCTGCATGCTTTCAGCATCTGCACAAGATGGGAACTATCAGGTTTTCCCCCTTGCTATAGCTATCGTTGATGGAGAGAATAACAATGCCTAGAAATGGTTTCTACGCAATTTGCTAAGAATTGTTCCAAATGCCGATGATATTGTATTTGTTTCTAATCGTCATGCCTCCATATACGCTGGTATTGCCAAGGTATCCAACTACCATTATATTTTAGAAACTGGTACAAATAGGTTATACCTGAATACCTGGATATATTTTTGATAACCGGTATTATGCATTCAATTATCCTATTATTACGGATGCAATTTTATATTTATTTTCTATAATTGGCCTTTTCTATTCCCACATTTTACCCTATTACTTGCAGGTTTATCCCGCTGCTAGCCAATGTGTCTGTATCTTACACCTTAAGAGGAACATCAAAACATAATTCAAGGATAAACATCTTGGGTTTATGGTTAGTAAAGAAGCACGTGCATTTAGGCTATCAGACTTCTATAAGCGTTCAATGATATAAAGTTGCTGAATCCATCATGTGCTGATTACCTTATTGGTATTGGTTTTGAGCATTGGACTCGTTCGCATTTTGCTGGGAAAAGGTACAACATTATGACGATTAATGTTGAGGAATCTTTTAACTCTGCACTCCGAGAGGCTAGAGCATATCCTATACTCCCTCTGCTTGAATTTATCAGATCTAAGCTGATGAGCTGGTTCGCTGCGCATCGTCAAATTGTGACACCCCCAATAATCTTACTCCACGTGTTATGGAAGTTCTTGCTGCAAATTTTGATCTAAGTAGTGTATTTGGTGTTAATATGATTAACAAATACGAATATGAGGTGATTGACAAGGCTGGTGTATCATATCATGTCAACTTGACTGCGAGGTCATGCAGCTGTTTTGAATTTCAGTGTTTGATGATACCTTGTCCACATGCACTAGCTGCCTCTGTTGTGGCCAAAATAAGTGTTCAATCCCTTGTTTATGTTGAATATTCAACTTCCATGTTAGCTTCTGCATATGAGAAAGACATAGTCCATGCGATAGAGGCAATCAATGTTGAATCACTTTCTGTTGATTTATCGGCTACGCATCTTGACGTCGTCCCTCTTGCCAGTAGGCGACCACATGGACTCCCTAAGAAATCTCGTTTCTTATCTAGAGGCGAATTTCGGGTACGATGCCTAGTAATTGCCTTATGTTACTTATGTTTTATAAATTTTTAACCCTGTAGATGAAACCTGTACGTAAGCTTCACATATGTAGCCGTTGCAAACAAAGTGGTCACAACAGGGCTATATGTAAGACTGCAATATGAGGGTATCTAGTTATGTAAGGGAAGTGGGAGACTCGGATGATGAAGGTGTATGAGAAGAAAGGATGTGCTGCTACTGGACAGCAGAATTAATAAATGATTTTATCATCTTATATCCAGATATGGTTGAGGCGGGATTGTACTTTATTTCCCGATTTTGTTTGTTAACTAATATTCCCATCTCTCTATAACATATGGAAAAATTCTTATTTCGTAATAATCAGTTGGTAAAAACCTGTTATTTGATGTCAAACTTTTGTATTTGTGTATGAGTGTCACCAACTAAAACTGAACCTTTCAAAATAATGAACACATTTGGTCGGAATTAGAAACTTTTTGAAGGAATAAGTTAAACTAAGTTACAAAACATAACTAACCAGTAAAACACCAAAAGTAAATTGATACTTCATTCCATATATAATTATTATCTGAAATTGAAAAAAAAATATGATATGAAAAAATATATTCTAAAACATCATTTTCCTGTGAAATTAGAAAATATTAATTATTATTTTTCTCTTATTAATTTATGATGAGTATCTACTCTATTAAAATAGAGTCATTCTTTTTATCTACTGATACAAGTTGTCATTTAAATTTGGACCCTTTCTAGAGTGTTACAATTATGTAACACAAGCCATATAATTAATTAAACCGCATTATTTAAATTAAACCGATGGTTATTTATGGGATATAGTCTTGGGCTTACTTTTGTTTTTAGAACAAATTATATAGTTTTGTTTTTGGGCATAGTATTAAAGAAAAACTCCAAAAAACATTGAATAAACTTTCTACCTTAATAGATAAAAAAATCAATTATTCTTTTTAGGCCCAAAGGGTATTTAATATTTTTAACAAAACAAAATTTTCTATTATTACTCATTTATTTAAATTATGTACTTTAAAACATGTTAATGTATTTTTTATTTTAAATAACAATCACTTTATTTTGATAAATTTCAATGGTATTTTAAATAATTTATTGTTTTATTTTTCTTAAATAATTTACTGATTTTAAAAAAAATGTAAAGCAAAGCGAAAAACCAAATCTAAAAACAAAAATCAAAACCAAAATCTGAAAACACAAGTTATATTTTTTTGATTTTGTTTATTTACAAAATAAACTATTGCAAATTTTTTTGTCATCTTTTCAGTTTTAAATTAGATGTTTGATTATTTAGGATTTGTTTGTTGGTAATATCAGTTCAAACTAATTCAACGGGTCTGGAAATTAAAAACACAAACCAAAACTGAAAATCAAAAGTAGAAACTATAAAACTAAAAACCAAAAACCAAAATCTAAAACAAAATCTAAAAATAAAAACTGAAACTAAAAACTAATGAAAAACAATCATCATCACAAATTTTGGTGAACTGATTTTATACCAAAACATTCTTTAAATTAACTCCAAAAAACATTGAATAAAATTTCTATCTTAATGGATCAAAAAAAATCAATTATTATTTTCAGGCCCAAATGTATTTAATATTTTTAACAAAACAAAATTGTCTATTATTAATCATTTATTTAAATCATGTACTTTAAAACATGTTATTGTATTTTTTATTTTAAATAACAATCACTTTTTTGATAAATTTCAATGGTAAATTTTAAATAATTTATTGTTTTATTTTTCTTAAATAATTTACTGATTTAAAAAAATAAATGTAAAGCAAAACCAAAAACCAATTCTAAAAACTAAAACCCAAAACCAAAAGCTCAAAACGCATTGTTCTAGATAACATATTGTTATAGTTTTTGCTTTTATTTATTTACAAAATACACAATTGCAATTTTTTTTTTAAAAAAAAATTTGTCATCTTTTCAGTTTTAAATTAGATATTCGATTATTTGAAATTTGTTTGTTGGTAATATCAGTTCAAACTAACTCAGCGGATCTAAAAGTTAAAAATCCAAACAAAAGCTGAAAATCAAAAATAGAAACTTGAAAACTAAAAACCAAAATCTAAAAATAAAAACTAAAACTAAAAACTAATGAAAAAAATCGTCATCACAAATTTTGATAAACTGATTTTATACCATAACATTCTTTAAATTAAGACATAACCCAATTATATAATTTTTAGTTATAAAAACTTTTCGCGCTTTCAAGCGCGGGTCAAAATCTAGTAGTATTTTAAAATTTAGATCTAATTTATTTTATCAAATTGTATTTTAACTGATTTAGCCTAGATGTAGACTAATTTATTATCATGAAATAAATAATTTGTGTAAATGCTTTTTTAAACTTGAATCTTCTTGAAATATAACTATACTATTATTTATTTTTAAAAAAATTATTATGTCAAATTGAAATATAAATAATAAAAATATATCTATTATACTTTCTCTGAATTATTTTTGTTAATTTTGTATTCTCTAAAAATAGAGAATAATGAAAGTTATTGTCATTTTAATTCAAACCAAAAATTATTATTAAGAATAACAATATGATCTTATAACTCTTTTCATTATTTTTTTGTTTATAATATCTTTTTCAATCTATAATGATTTTAAATGGTTAATAAAATTAATATAAATC